GGGAGGGAGGGAGGGAGGGAGGGAGGGAGGAAGGAAGAAAGAAATTGGTTGCATATTCTTCTCAACATCCAGCAGAAGTTGTTAGAGTCACAGTTAGGGAAATGCCAAAGTTTATTTCTATTTCAGAAATGTAATATCATTATTTTCAAATTTTGGTGAAGAAATGTCTGTTGGATAGTTTTTTATATTAGAATAATTATTTGAATAATAGGTAACATAGAAATATACATTGACTAATGGATTAATAGCAGTCTATGCATTGTTTTTCATATTACATCAAAGGAATCTATACTTTGGTTCTTTCAATTTAACTTGCATGAATAATTCAAATGATGGTTCAAAATTATGTTTATCACTTTTGTGTAAGAGTACAACTCAGAAGCATAGAAAATCATGGAAAGAGTAAATCAGTGTCAAAAATTTCTTAAATGACACGAAACTAAATGAAATGTAACAGTATCACATACAGAAGATGTCTGTCTAGAAAAAAAAAATAATAATGCCTACACTATGCCAGGATAGAGAAAGCAATATTTGATTGAATGAAATCATAACTTTTCAGGCATTGGAATGGAACTTTATCCTTTAAAACTTTATATCTTCCAGAAAGTCTTCCTGTCACTGACATTCTATGATAAATACCCTCTTCTACAGCTAAGCTGACTTGGTTCGTGTTAATCCCAAAACACAGAAGTGTGAAATTCATGCAGTATGAATCCATTTTTAGACAAAATCCAAATATATGCATAATGTAAAAAAACTATCTTTGTGGATAAAAAACAATTGAGAAAAGTAAGTACAAACTCTAGTTTGTCAACTGGAGGGGACAGAACAGCCTAAATGATCCCCTTTCTAGGTCTGTGTATAAAGAACAGCGATATGTATTTCACTTTGACTCCATACCTGCGCATATGTTTTTTGTGTGTACATACACCTGTTATTTATGCCATATTTAACATTTTTTAAAATGATGATTAATGGTTATAGCATTTATTCTATAACGTCCAGTGAGTCACTTAAATACTGGTATAATAGAATTTCTGATTCCATGAAAGATTTACAGATTAGAAAACTCATTTATCTTTTTTTCTTTGTAGGTCATTTTTCCTTTCCCAAGTGAGGATGAAGATTATAGCAATTCTGCAGAACAGGATATCAGGAGACAAAATGACTTGCTGCTTACACAGCTCATGTATGGCAACACCAGACTATGAAGCCAGGCATGTCTGTCCCATATGTGCCCTTGTCATTATGTCATATTGCCCTAATATTATCATCTAATGTCTGACAGTAGGGTTTAATGGAGCATAAGATTTGACTTCTAAACAAGCTCTGCAAGTTATTAGTTGTTTGACCTTGGATGATATTTAATAAATTTTTAAGGACTTGGTTTATCTCTTTCTTGCTAATAAATTGGTGCTAATAATACCTACCAATCATAGCCATTATTGAGGTTTAAGGCAAAAAAACATCTTTCAATAAATTTAGCTTATATTATTATGATTAACTTCTGGCAGCTTCATTTAGTTAGATTATGTGAACATCTCCCCAAATCCTCAGCATCGTGTGGTTATAAATGGGAACAGATGGTTAGATTAATATAAGGCTGATCAAGCAATTGCAAGAAAAGGATAAGAAGCCTGGAAAAGTGAGGATGCAGGTAAGGAATTCACCTTTGTGACCCAGTGGAGGGTCATGGCCCCTGTGGAAACCGAAGAAGTGAAAGAAGTGAAACTAGAAGAAATTGATTCTCTGAGGAAGAATAAACAGCCTGGGAGCAGCAGCTGTGGTGAAACTGGGCAGTGCTGGACAATTTAATTGGGAGTAAACGAATGAAGAAGAAAATGAAGAAAGAAATTGATGAAGTCAACCACACATGACCCAGAGCTAAGAATATTTCATAGTCCTGAAAAACTCTGTAACCATTAATACTCTCACTTCAGTTTCCACAAAGGGATTAGTAATGAGCAAAGTTGACCAAACGGACCTGACACTGTGGCCATTTACAGTTTGCTCTTGAATTTACCTGGAATCCAGGGTCTCAATACTGCTCAAATGTCCTTACCAAACAATATTTCCCTATTTCTATGACATCCTCATTATGGAAGAAACAGAATACCTTTGGTTAAATGAGAAAATATGAATTTCCTTGTATATGTTATTCACTTTTGTCCAATTTCTCCTTACATTCATAAATTTATCTGAATCAAATTTCAATATTTTTTAGTTCTTCTAGAAAGTCTTAATTTCCTTTTACTCCTCCTAAGAAGTATACTAATTCCTCTGCTAATCCAAGAGTATAATTCTGAAACACAGACAGACTTACTTGATTCTGTTCTAGTGCCAGTTGGTACAAGTAATGCCAACATCAGATCTTCAACTCCTAGCGTCCACCCTGCCAGTCTGGAAACTACGGTGTTCCTTTAATATTTTACATTGCCAGTTAGATATGCCTTAGCCCTAACAAGTGAATCTGTCTAAATATACAGGTCTACCAAGTCAATGATCACTGACAACTAGCAAGGTATGTTTAGAAATTATTGAATAGCAATTTGAAAATAGAAAATGCTTCAAGTTTCTGAAACTAACAATGTTCTCTTAATAAAGAATATTATTTGTTTATCTCTGAAACTTGAAATTGTATTAGTTTTTATTTTCCAGCACTGACTTCCAATATCTCCATGAGACTATCTTCCTATGTGAAGAAGGAACACTAATTAGACATCCTGTAAGTGACAAATGAAATTCTACAGGAAGGAAAGCAGCTGTTTGGCTTACACTGAAACTTCATACCTGAGCGCTTTGCCTCTTTCTGGATGCTTTCGTAGTCATGCCAGTCCTTTCTTCTCAAACCATCTGTCCAAGCATAGAACTGACCATCTCCCAGGCCCAGAGGAAATGTCTGTGGAAATGGAAAATATTCAGAGTATAAAAAGGAGGCATTTCTGCTTGCAAGGTAGGTAAAAAAACAGCCAGCCACATAATAGCCAGTCAAAGAATATGTGTTGAATTAGTAATTCCGAGTAGAGAAAACTATTGCTAGTGACCAGATAACTACACTTTACAATTTTTTTTTTAGCTTTTAAAATGAGACCAAATACTACCTAGCTCCCATTTTATATCATTCTAGTAGATATCGATTCAGTATATCACAACCTCTGAGCATAAATGCCCTGCCATTTTCATTTGACCAAAGTTTAAATGTTGGCAAAGCTTTCAATTTTGGTGTGAAATGGAATTTTGTTTTTAATTGATTCAGTTTTATTAATTGTGATCATGTATATGACATGATCATATACTGGATGCTTTCTATGTGTCAGGTATATGTTAAATATAACTTCTTCACTTTATCAGAATGCAGAATGCTCCTGTGAAATCTTTTTTAAGTTAATTTTGCATAAGCAAAGAAACAGTTACCATGAATTTATAGAAAATTTTTAATTTTCCCAGATCCCCCAAAATAGCTTACCAAAGGATAGTAAATAATGCCTAGCACTGAAAACCAACATATAGTTAATGCAAAAATTAGATGATAAATGCACAGTCTAGTGAAAGAATTAAAGTTCTTGGAAAGGAGTTTGGAAGTTGCCCTCTTGCTGGTGATGGTGAGCACTGCTTCTGTAAGAGCTACCTGCAAGCCAACGCAGAACCTGATTTTCACTTTTTACCTTTTGTCATGAGAATGAAAATCCAATTGGGATTTTCTTTACAGTTAGCAAAAGCAACAACTGTGAGTCAAAAAGGTGAAGCAACACAACTTTTGTAAACCAAGGGATATCTGTAGCCTGTGTACAGAATTTGTTCAATTTTGATGGTAATCTTTGGTTGTACATTTTCACTTTTCTTCCAATAAAACAGGTACCCAGAGAACTAAAATAGTTTGAATTAAATCATAAATTAGGATTTAGATCAGTTCTATTAAGATCAAAATTGTGATCTTAACAAATGTCTGCTACTGTCTTCCAACGTGATTCCTGTTAAACAATAGTACATGGTTACACTTGGAGCTGAAATCATCACCCATTCAATGACTGTAGTTACAGTATGTCTCTTTGCTAAAATTCAGTGTTTTAATGTCTATTTGAAGATTATTTCTGTGTATATTGTTGAGGTTGTATGTGTTGTGGTATATTTTTCTAGGACTAGGAAGCACAAATGTTTTGAATGAAATTTATTTTTTCATAATCTTGATATTTAATATACATAAAATATGTTGTCATATCCATGCATCATTTTCCTTTTTTGTTCAGTTTTGGAAATAAGTATCACATCTACAAAATGATGAGCAGGTTTTTTTTTTTTTTTTTTTAAAGTTCCAACTTAGGCAAAGATAAAACTGAGTAATTTCAGTAATGCAATTTTATTCTGCCAGCAAATGGAATGCCTTATTCTTCAGAGTTAATGCAAGTACCTTCAATCTATCATTATATCTTATAAAGAATCCACTTATTTTGAGAGGGTGAAAATAAAGCTTAATGTTACAAAGAAAAGTAGTTAAAATAAGAAGGAAGGTTTTCTAAAATCATCTCTATTTTCTACATATGTAAAGAAATTTGCTCATAATAGTGGTGAGTTTAGGATAAAAGGCAGAAGAATTAACACACAAGAATGATGGGTTTACATAGCATATTAAAAATGATGAAGATACATTTTAAATGGAGAATGGCAGGAAAGAAAAGTTATGGGAAAATTAAGAACAAAGGATATAATAAAATTATAAGGAACCTAAGAAATCAATTTTGGTAATATGATAGCAAACATCACACAAAGTCATGAATTGCTTTCTAATTGATAATTAATTCTATTAATAAATATTAGTAGCATTCAGAAACATCAAAACACAACCAATCTGAAATATTTACTTTTGGCAAGTACTGAACACTAATAAAAAACCCAACATTGACATAGCTAGTACCAATTCTAAACATCATTTTAAGATAAAATAGAAAGTTTCAAAACATGAAATTATAAAGATACTGTATAAACTCCATATATGCAAAGCTCTCTGTGATTACTAAGTTAGTCTATCTCCATTAATTTGATAAACTTAATGCAGAGAATTCCTAGCAAATAGTAATAAGGCAGATTTCACAGAAGAATTAACCTTTTATTTCCCCATAAACCTATGATAACGACAATAAAGCATCAAATGAATAAAGAAACAGATAATAGAATTGCCGTGAACTTTGGTAAATGACGGAACTGTTGGGAGGGAAACATAGCTTTTATTCACCAAACCTTATATTACTTAAATTTGAAGTATTAGATATTTCTGAGGGTGAGATTAAAGGTGAAAACAAAAAGACTGACATGTTTATATGGAACATGGATACACAGCACTTCTCCCCAAAACCAACCAACAGTCAGACAATTTCTGAGACACAGTCACTGAACTCCCTCCCAAAGAAGTCTGGAGTTTGAAAGACAGAGTACATTTGGGTGCTGAGCAGTAGAAAATATCCAAAGTCCTTGAAATCTATTTACCAAGTACTGCTAACCAACAGTGTCTTTCTTCACTGGGCTCTTAGAAAACGGCCATCCGTATTACACCTGGTAGACAAGAGGGAAATGAACTCCTCTCTGGAAAACAGGGATCAGAAGAGATACAGGAACACTGGCACACTGGTGCACACCCTGTGATCGCCTAGGAAGTACTTCTCCATGCAGGCAACTTTCTAGGAGCATTTTCACGACTTCAATCAAGACCATGAGCCTCAGAAGGATGCTGGACATTTAAGAGCACTTCTAACATAAAATTCAGAAGTCAAAAAAAAAAAAAAACAAAAAACAAAAGATATAATATACTTGAAGGAAAACAGAAGCAATGTAATCCTCAGAAGAAATGTTGCCAAACATATAAATTTAATTTTATCAGAGAGCTTTAGGAAAAGTTCCTTCATAGAAACAGTAATTTAAGAATGGGACATTTAGAGAATAATAAGAGTTCTTGGGCAGAGAAAAGGGGCTTGTAGGCATAAGATAATTGTGAAACAGTTTGAACATGTCTGGGGACATTAGTAAGAAGTACAAAAGAAGTCGAGAAAGAAGAAGAGGAAGTGGAGAAAGAAGGGGAGGACAAACGAATGGCAGAGGCAAAACAACAGCACTGTAGGCAGGTAGGAACATGTCTCCAGACTCAGGCTCAGCTGGGCCTGAGTGCTTGGGAGGGACAGAGAGCGACTCCAGGAGGTGGTCTCCATGAGGATGAAAAAGCACCTAGGTAAGCAAAACTTACTCTTGTTTTAAAGTCATATTTACAGCAGTCTCACACTTCTTCCAAAACGATTGGGATGAATTAATGATGCATACACAAAAGTCTCAGCAAATGAAAAGCATGGCAATTAAGATTAGAGTAAAAAATGTACAAGGAAGAAGTATAACTTCAGTGCCCGGTTTGATTTAGGTAAGAATACTCTTATCTTAATACTGATTTAATTAAAATTGAACCTATAACTTTACCAAAGGTTGAGGGAAAGAGGGAAATAAGATAATTAAATACATATTTTATATAGTAGAAAACAATAGATAAAAACCAAAATGCAGAAAAAAGGTCCAAGAAAGGAAATAGTCACCTGCTATCTGCAAATATGCAACATGTAACTATAAAAGCTAAAAGATTCATGTGTTATGTCCCTGGATATCAAGTTTACAAGTAGAAGGAAGTGGGCCAGAGGACTTCTGGCCCACTTTATTTACAGGCTTTATTTTATGGTTACATTTAAGAAAAAAAAATGTTTGTAAATACTACTTTACATGAAAGTGAATCTCAAATAAAATGTTTGGAACTTCTTTGCATTTATGAGTGCTCTGGGCAGGTGTGCAGACATTGTGAGCATATTTTATCTCAGCAGAGGAATCAGGTTAAAAGCAGACAGTGCTTGTAAAGGCTATCTGAGGATTTGTTACCCTAAAACCTCCTCTGTCTGTATCAGGGTAACTCACAGCTCAGCAGCAACTGCATCACCAGGGAACTCGTTAGAAATGCAATTCCTAGGTCCCAACTCATGCCTGTTAAATCAGGAACTATAAGAGGAAAGAGACACTAAAATTTGTGTCTGGGTGACTAGGAGGCTTATCAAAGTGGGAAAACTACAGGAAAGTAGGAAATTAACACTGCTATAACATTAAGAAAACAGGTCTAGCCGATTTGCAACCCATGTGACACAATGGACTGTAGAATTCTCTTTGTGTTGAGGGCTGATGACCAACATAAGGATTAATGTTTGTATCCTTTGGGTTGCCAGAAGGGCAGCTGGGTAAACTTAAATCAATCCAGTACATTTGTACAGTATCACCTTGGTGCTGAAAGCTTAACCATCCGCTAAATGGCTCATCAGCATTCTGACCTGTCCTTCTACATGAGCAACTCCAGGGTTCAGATCCATGTGACCTCTGCATACTTATCTATCACGAAACCATTGCCTGTGCCCTTGTAAAACAAATGAGAATACTGAGCCTCCACCAGGCACGTATCTGACTGCTTATTGCGGGGGACATTTATGTGTAAGTCCCCTTCTTATTTTTCAGCTGATGGGCTTTTTCCTCATTGTAAAGTCACTATACACATGTCTGAAAAAAACAGCAAAGGTGAAGAATCAGAATCTATTAAGTAGAAACCATATGCAGTAGAGTGATTGAACCCTAGTGATTGTTAAAAAATAATTATTTCTGAGTATGGGTATGAAAGAACTTTAAAGGCTAAAAGCTTATTCATAACCAGTGTGTTTATTGAAGCTCACAAAGGCAAAGAACTGCTGCACTCAGATTGACATTGCTGGGTGAAGAACTTGGGTCACCTGCACACTGCTATTCACATTTATAAAATCTTGAAACACCTCTCAGGAGCTGTCATTCTGGAAAATCCAGGGGAATTAAAAACAAGCAAAAATCTCTTGCTTTAAA